CAAGCATGCACGATAGACTTGAAGTGCGTCGACTACGGCCAGTCGGGAGGAGCTTCGAAAAGGGTCCCGTAACTCGCAATCAACTAAGTTGCTACTGGTTCAACCAGAAAACTTACAACTGTGACAAACTTGTGTTGAAATACTTTAGCACGGGAAATGTACCGTTAGGCGCTCACGAAAATGTGTCAAGACTCGAAGGCAACAACGTCCAGCGAGCGTGATGATGTGCAAAGGGATCAAAAGCGAAAAGTGTAAATCCTCTCGCGGAAGGATACAGAAACCGTACAAAAGAAACATCACAATCCGTTGGCACTGAAATATAAATGTAAACGTAGAGTAAGACTGTAAAAGAAAAGGGATGTCCGCAGATGTTCGATATTTTCGGAACTTCTGTGGTCACCCCAAAGACTTCATCCATTAACAGTGAGATGCCGCTGTCTTCACAAGTCACTTTTGTGGTCACTGAGCTGATGTTGGTGAAGATTTTCTCAAGTTGTCTGATTTCCGTAGTTGGTACTACGCTTATATTAAATTTATATATTTACTTTGTAACGAGAGGCTTGTATTCGACACGTATGCTATGCAGAGTAGGCATTTCCAAATCCTTATGCCAGTCACGCATAAACGTGACCTCATTCACACTCTGTTCGCGAGAGCTGGACAACCTTGTAGTGATGACAAGATCGATCAAGAAATTGATGGGAGATCACACACGAACATCAAACAGTTACCCCATGGAATCTGTTCACAGATAAACAGACAATGAAAAGCCAGTCAGCGTATACAGTGGAGGTTGCGATTTGCTTTTGATTCAAAGGTGACAACTGACACAAATAACGTACTCCAACAATGTGTGCAGTCGGTTTTCAACCGTACTTATCAAGTCCAGAGTTCTGTCCAAAACAAGAAGCTTTCCTTCAATTCCACCGGTTAAAGAACATTTACCACTGTACTGTAAACTAGACGTGGTTCATCAATTTAAGTCAAGGTTTAGCACCACATGTGGTAGCTGAAAAGAACTGCAATCACGCGGTTAGGTTTTTGGAACACATCCCGAACTGTGTTCATTGCGAAGTTCCTATGTCCTTATCAACACAACTGATTACTAACAGAGGTGGGTCGTGCACAACACCCAGTTCCTCAGTTGTCAGGCTTTTATTCTTGACACCACATCTCTTCGTTTGTAAAAAATCACTTCGAATGATATGCACTGAGGAAAACTCCTGAATGCTTTAGATAAAAGAACTGGTAGCAATCAATCCGTGAAGAAAGTAGGAATTGCTAATTATCATGAATTTGCCATGGGAGCTCATTACTCAATCATGTTTACGCCTTTTTGTCATACACTTCCAAACCCTTGTATTCTTCAGTACTGAGCACCAACCGGGCAATACTGCAATGCTGTTGTCTCTTCGCTGTTATTTCCTTGAGTGAGACTGTCTTGATCAAACGCCCTAACATATTGTCACTCAGAACGCAATTGTGTAAAATATACACAAAATAGAAAATCCGGTTATTCGCAGAAGAAGTGCTTTCTAATAGATTTTTAATTATATATTGTTTTGAATTGACAATCCGGCACTGTTTAACTGCACTCAAAATCCTCAGTTGATCCGATCAACCATGCATTCCAAAAGCATTATACTCCAGTTTCTCTCGCGTTTATACCTCATCAATAGTGCACATTCATTATTCCGTTTCGGGAATCGAACTAAAATACCCTCATATGGGAGGTTCATGAAGTACAAATCGCTGAACTCAACGGGCTAGTAGAAATTGCCGTTTACATTTCGATCAAACGTTTTCTTCACTGATAGTCATCCTAATCATTTTTTACCAGACAAAATGAACAAGGATACAGTATGCTATAATCTGTTAAATTCAATCGAATGAATCCCCGTATCAGGTCTTCTACACAGGTATGGATATATATGTTCTCAGTTAAAGTTACTGGAACGACTTTAAATGTTATTTAACTCACAAGTACTTGTGAGCAGTGATGTGGAATATGTGGTATTAATATGAAAATTTCATTCTTCAGAACTCGCACTAACGCATGTTCATCAGTTATTGATTTATTTGAAAATGCGTAGTTTATTTTAAACACTGCTCTCGAGTTGATTGGCCTTAACACATTCTCATTTAGGCACAATCATACACACATACCAATATTATGCTATAGCGTCGGACGCTGTTCCTAAGGGTCTCATTTACTGCACCACGCGATAGCTCTGCGATTATCTAGGCGTACTTTTCACGCATCCGTTTTATGGTCAAGACGATATTGTAGTAGTGCTTCGGACTTCATGTGATCTCCGACCGATTAAAGATGACCAGGCCAGCATTTACAACCAACGCACAGACCACAGTTACATCATAAGAGAACTTTGGAATGTCACATTCCAATGTGAACACAGATATTTTCCTAGCATGGTAAGTGAGTGAAACCAAGAACTATGGGATGAGTGTCACCAGTATGTTGGTTGTCCTTGATCATGCATGGACAAAGCGTGATCGACTTGTCTGCAGCTAACAGGGTAGTTAGTGTGTTCCCGATTGAGATCGTTAGTGGATTCTGAGTATAGCTTAATAGTCGAAACAGAAAATTCCGGTTCATATTTCATCTGCTCTGTATGGGCTAGACAGAACTGCGTGATTTTATTTAGTTTGAAACTAATAACCCGTGATTGATTTTCAATGGCATTAGCAAATCACGGAAGAAACGTCATTTGAAGTTATATCCTACTTAGACAACAGATTATAAAGTATCAATCCCATTTTCAGTCAGTATAGCCAAGTTATAAACGTACTGAGTATCGAGAATCACATTACCAGTGTGGACTTTAGCTCGAGATTGCAGGTCACAAACCGAAACGGTGTGATATTTGCTCTATACTAGCTTAGTTTTTTTTGATCAAGCCATTACTTTCGTGTCGCATGTGTCGCTGACATAGAAACATATCATCATACATAATACAACACGTTACAATGTAAAGGTGCAAGGCTTATCACTTCGACGGGAGAGAACTAAAAGCTTATTTATATTGAAATGTGAACGAGCTTCCCTTTTGAAAAGCGGATGAGGTCAACTGTAGTTGGTTGGCAATAATTGAACGTAATATGATGGTGCTGTGGGCAGGTTGATTGTGCGAACAAATATAAGAATGGTAAACATTTGTAAATCTAGGGACATCTCTGTTTGATTCAAATGTGTTTACAAAATCAGAATTTTAATTACCTCCTCGATCTTCGTCAAACTTGCAATGAATTCTTCTTTCGTTACCTGACCATCCCCATTCACGTCATGATTACGAAGAAGTCGCTGTTCCGGGAAAAAAGACAACAAATAAATGTAATTTTATACTCATACTTTCAGAATTATGGAAATATTGCCTGTGTATTGAGACTGCTGTAAGCCTTTGCTTGGGTGCACAAACGGAGAATAGATTTCTGCGAATTGTCAGTCAGTGATCCTATTTAAATAAACTCAATAATCATGCTCGTGACATGTACGGTTCACGCGTAGGACCACAAAAGCCTTGCATTTGCTCACTTTCACAAGTTCACTTGATTGGTCCCTGGACTGAATCAAATGAGAACGGTAAATTAAGATACACCATCGCTCAAGCGCGTAAGCCAAGAGAACAACTCAACTTCGGACTGGAACGCACCTGAGCACAGTTTGCGATGTATAAAATAATGAAACTGATAGAAAAAAGTTCACTCCACAATAAATCAAACACTGACAACGACATTGCACGGGTGATAAATCAAAATTCACCACGCCAGTGTTTCAGTTTGGCACACACTGTGCTGTTGGTTGAACACAATACTCCCGTTTGGCTAGGTGGGAGACACAGGAGCGCTTGTATAAAATAATTACATTGTACTGAACTAAATAAAAACAGCTATGAAATTATTCCGTTTTGCATGGTTTTACAATCTATTTCAACCCAAGTGATAGATCATACTTGCATTTACCCTACTGTCCGATGACCTTCAACCCACTCCGGATTGTGCACCACTGTTTTTCTCTCAGCCTGGTGACATTGTATAGCCCCATGCCTTCCGCGGAATTCACCATGAAATGCTTGATCTATTCCGTGGAATACATGCATGTTAGTCTGCTGCTACGTCACAAGTCACTGGTGTTGATCTATTTAATGTCTTTATATCTATACTCACTCCAACCATACTATATAAACCAAGTTCATCCGTGTAAACCACTGATAGCCATTAGTGATGGGTAACTCAGGTTGAACATTAGTTTCTCTGGAATGAGTACATCGACCGCATTTTTGTGCCTTGCTATTTTGAGACAAAACCTGCCCCGACGCCTTGGTTTATCATTAGTTAGTCTACTGTTTCCTGGAAACTGGATTGCTCCTTAGATTGAGGTAAGTTCTCGTGACTGAGTGTTTGTAAAACTGTATTAATTTCACCAAAAATGATAGCAACCAAGCAAGCTAAAACAACTATTTCTGTCGTATACCGGATGGAAAAACCTGAAGCAAATGAAATACTTAATGTCCTACAAATAAAAAGCGGTTGTATTTTGTACAATGGAGAGGTTCCGGTCACGTGCTGGCATTCGAAAGTCAAGTCACATTGGAAGCCAGAATTTCTTCCTCTGAGAAGTCACACACATACCAAGTCGAATACACCGAATTCAACCGGTTTGTAAATGTATGACATATTTGACCATCAATACTCTCCAATTGATAATGACTAACTCAGCTCTGTGAGGTACCTGTACAGACGAATTGATGAACTGGTTGTTGACGAGATGTTGTTTCGGTTGGAAATTTTTGGACTCAGTTGGAAAGAATGCAATCCACATTCTAGTTAAAAAATAATGTGGATAAGATGGGTGTACGGAATTCTAAACACAGACAAAAATGCCAATTAATAATGTTTCAATGGGTATGCACAGTTTCAGTTATTTCCGGTCTTAAGAAATTCAGTAACATTGTTAAGTTCTTTTCAACAGCCAACTAAATAGGTGGATTCACCTCGGGTTCAATAGGCCTAAAACAAAACACTTCCATGAAGTATTAAAATGCACTGTTGAACATAAAAATCTGCCGAATTCGAAAGCCCTGTCACATCCCTCCCAGAGATGTCGCTGCTCACTCGACTAATATCATTCGTTGGTCATTTTTCGCCACCTGGGAAAACCTGGCTGACAGGTATAGTTTTTCACTCCACCGCCTGAACTAAGATTGACTTGCGAATTTTGGTGTCACGAATACGTGAATACCGATCGGTCGTTGAAGGGCTGAAATCCTCGGAGTGTGATGTAAATATAGACAAATTGGACGAAGTTTACACGTAGCTACGGGCGATGGGCAAATGCACTGTGAGTCAAGTAAACAGCACCAGGCTGAAAAAAGCAATATAATTTCTCCGGATTCTAACATACATATTGTGTCACAACTGACCAATTACACCCGCTCCATTGTTTTCAGACCGGACAAAGTTGGACACAGGAGCTTCTGGAACCGAAAGTTCAGAGAGTGGATACGTGATATATCACCTGTATACTGGAGTTGGTTCGGCCCTTTCACAATCAACCTGCGTTAGGCTGATTGGTCCTATGGCTCGTTGACCGAATCATTCCTATGTATCTCTTGAATCGAATGTTCAACGGGAGAGGTGGTGTGTGTGTGTGTGTGTGGATGAAATGAAGCAAAAGACTCACCTCTGCCAATCTTTCCGGGAGTCCACATCGCTGAATTTCTTGGGTGAATTCCTCGCGACAAATAAAGCCATTGTGATCCGCATCCAGTTCGTAGAATCGTTCCTCTAACGTTTTCCTCGCGGACATTTCGGAAACGAGAACTGTGAAGGACACGGAACTAGAATAACAAACACAAGAACTCAATTTATGGTGTTGTCACCCGGGCAACTGGTAATCTATGAATGAGGTGTTTCATTATTTTCCTAATTAGAAGTTCACCTTACGTCCAGTAGTGTCTCCAAAATTAACAGTTTAGGAAAGTTACCTATAATCTTCATAACTAAATTAGTAATATTGGTACTATTGATGGTAATAGTGTAAATATTGACGTTTCCGATTGGATAAAGAAGCACTTGAAACGTTAGATTCATTCGAAAATAACTATTAGAGAACTCATTCATTAATAAAACCTTCACGAAAGCGAAAGAACTGAGAATTTATATTTCATATCCGCTGGAACCCACGAAAGAAGGACAGGTAATTCGGCTAATGGTGTAAGTCAGTTGGTTTTCTGTGTTCTTAGAGCTTTCCTTCGCGATAAGAATACTGTTTCCAAGCTGTTACGTCCGTCAGTACAGTGGATGGGGCGCCATGAATTAAGATCTCGCCAGTGAAAAGCACCCAGCAGACAACCCCATTGGGAGCACAAAAATATGATTCATACACAGCCAAATGCAAGCCACCAGATAGACAGGAACTCGATCCGGAGGTAAGTAAAGTGAGAAGTAGAAGTGTTCTAATGGAAGACGATGGTTCACCGAAGACATTCAAATCCTGCATTTCAGTCTTGTCCAGACCGCTACTTTTGCTTGTCATCACGCGTAACGGACACGAATACCTACTCCGAAGATTGGGCTATCCCTGTTCTGCTGCCCATCCCAAAACAGTCATAAGACTGTGCTCAGGAACTGGCAAGGTATCAGTCTGATCGACGTTACGACCAAAATGCTGTCAGCGACACTGATTNCTGATTAGTTTGCTGCGGTAGCAAGAGATATGTGCTACACTGTTACAAAGCAGCCTTCTCCGATGGTTTGACTATAATATTCATTGCCCCGCTGCGTTGCTCTTGACAGCTACTGTCTTCCCAAAACCTTGTTCAGGATAGCGTTGTCGTTTCAATGATGTGGTGAAAACCTGGATCCCCAAATTTGAAGAAGACAGATAATCCGGGTTTGAAATCAGTGTATGGCTTCTGAGACTGGAATATCAACTACTTTTCAATCCAAGCTGACCTCGCAGCTGAATGCCGAGCGTAAGCAGTGGCCATCATGGTTACCACTCACCCACACATGGCAGTTAGTTGCATCGAAACAAAAGTGGTACCCCAACTCATGCACTTGAATGATAAAGAAACACTGCTATCATAAAAGTGACTCCGGCGAGTCTGAATGTCCTCCTGCATTTTTTCGACATTCGATTGTACTCGTTCTTATATAATTAATCCTACGCACATATCTAAAGGGCCTCTTTCTAAATAATCGGGTTTTATTGTTCAATTCAGAACTCCCTAAATTATAAGGCTTGGTCATTGAACTGTTACTAACTAATATAAACTTTAGTTGAGCTCTCAGACTTCCTCTTTTCGCATCTTCAAAATATTTATTTCAAACGTATCAAATTTGCTTCCTTCAATAACATCGATTTCATTGGTTTCTAGATAATTTCAGTGTAACTGGAGAGGAGCAAAGTTTCGTGACCCATTTTATTCGCGTGATATGCACTACATCTATCCTTAATCAGGGAAAAAACTTTTTTATTCACTCAGTTCCAACGTTTCAGCGATGCGTCTGTATATGGGCTTAAAACAAATCGAAATTAATAGGAATGTATACCCAATTAGCTTTGGTTGAATAGTACTTAGTAACATTTGAGATATTACGATGTATCCATTTGTCATCACTGTGAGACTTCCACGTCAGCCTGAATGTTCGGTCTTTTGAAGTTTCATTCGGGATTTTTCCTCAGATTTCCTTATTCAACGGTCCAGGCTCCTTCAGAGTAGAGCGACGATTCTTACTAATTAAGAGATCTTTTCATTCGCTCTCTAAGACAGCCGGTCCTCCGAAAAATTGGTTATGTATGATTATGAAATCCATCAACAGATACTCGTTCATGGGACACTTTTATCCTGTCAATTTATGTTTGTTTTTGCGTTTGTGCCATGTAAAAGCTTGCACACATGTTCTAGTCAAGTATCGCTGCTCTATTCGGTTGGCAACGAAGTAAGTTCTGCTTTGCTTTGGGCGGTACATAGCTGCGGAAATGAATTTAGTGGTCCGTCCAAGTTGTTTCTGATGTACTAAACGTGGTTCTAAACCACCTAATATGAGAATAATGCAGAAACCTGCAAACGTCATTTTTTATTTCTAACTTGAATGTTATGTTTTGGTGGGCAATACCTGAATAGTCCGGCGTGAAGGGGATCACTCAAAGTATTTCGTTTAACCTATCCTGTGTATAATGACTAATCCTCAACGGATGATTTGAACGCTGACAAGGTTCACCATAAACAAGTGGGCGAGAATCTGCCCCATCATCCTTTAGGCAGTAGTGCACTTCAGTATAGTTAAACGGAAAGTTGTATTCTCGGGAATAGAGCAGTTCTTTTAGGTCATGCACATGAAGACCTAGCTGTGCATTTCTCATTTGTGCGTAACTGCACACATATTTGATCGATTCGTTGATTGAACCATCGGTGAACAACGAGTCAGCGGTCCAGCGAGAGTGGCATTCAACCGACAAAGTTAACCTGGTCAATTCTGTCCACAGATTAAATGTCAGTCCTAAAATGAGCTTGACTATCCGTATTCAAACTGGTTCCAGCAGTTGAGAAAACAATTTTTCAAAATCATGCTTTTTAAGAATTACACACATTCAAAATCATTCCTAATTATATTCTTCCTTCCTGTCCTTTTGGGAATGCGCACAAGCTCAAAAGTTTAGTCCGCATTGGTTGAACACTTTCAAAAAACGTTCTCAGCACAGATTCCCCTTTGCTTTAAGTATCGCGAAATCCCGGATAATGCACCGCCGGTTTGTGTCGTTTTTGGTTTTTTTCAAGTCAAGTCAACATAAGCTAAGATTTATGCACCCAATATGATGAATTTTCCGCACTTTAGACAATTTACAGTGAGAAAAACGTTAAACAGTGAAAAAAGAATATTAAACATTTACTAAGTGCAAAACAAATGAATGTGATGAAATCCTAATGCGACAAATGATTTTCCAAGTCATGAGTGGTATTTGTTGGGTTGACTAAGATACGAGCAAAATAATGGATGGTACTGATTTTATATCTAGTGGTGTTGCGTACACAAAGAATCCCCAGATTTAGAACGCATGCTCGGATGAGACACCGATTTATTGAGATGGGCATGCAGGCCGTGTTCTTCATTTAACAGTACATAGCTGATAAACAAATCGCATGAATCGAAAAGCTTGCTCACAAAAAAAGCAGCCCAAACGGTCTTTGAAATGCCACCGCAGCGGGAAAGACGTTTAAGAGATCTGGAAAAGAGAATAATGTCTTTCTCTTTTTGACGAGTTTTGACTGGCCTCTGAACATAGCTTTCGTTTTTTCATGTATCTGAAATAATCGGTTCTGCTTAAGCGAGATCATAAAATATTTGATGATTTTTGTGCTAACCTTGTGAGTTAGCTTATGCTTCGAAATTTCAGTGATTTTACGGCTTGATAGATATTTGCAGTGTACAATAAAGGACCTCAGACTCTTATTTCGTTTATTTTGAGGCTCATCGACAAAAGCTAGCTGTCCGGCTAGATTTTAATGTTGTTAATATTATCTTTATTTTCGTTTATGCAAGGAAGATACAATTTCAAAATCACTTTTAGGAAGGGAGTCAGGGTCGCTCACAAGGGAATACATACATTTAGACGATGGTCGGCGGATTCGATTCTCGGACCGACCTTATATATATATA